ATGGACAAGGAAAGCATAAGCTAGTATGTTTCACTGAACTCACATGGCATAATAAAGCTACTAAGATTTAAAAAGCGCTTTGTTTGTCTCAAGGGATTATAAGGCAGACGGCCGCAAACACTTGAGTTTTTCAGTATGATCTGCAGTGAATCACAAGTCTCGAGCTTGCTAAACTCATTACAGGCTACTTAATGCAACAGTAGAGACCCATGCACACACACTGGTATAAGAGTTAGCAACACTGATTTACAGGCATTTGCTTTCTCTTCATCTCGCGGTTCACCAAAAACATTGTCTATTTAGCTTTTATAGGATCAAACACGAATCAAAGCTAACTATTAGTGTAAAACAGCAAGCGGATCCTGTGCTACGAAAACACATCGAATGGATGGACGAAATCAAAGGAGATCGTTACTTGACCAGAGCTGTGCTTGGGGATTTCTCACTGAAGCCAGAGCACTCGAGACCGCGCTCATCTTTATGGCATGAAAGCGTGAGAGAGACTGACAATCGGAGGGGCAAAGTGTGAGAGCTGCGAGGTTCGATTTGAGGGAGAAATGAGAATGGGAGGAGGAGATAAAAGGGATATATCCTATTCACAAGTAAGTTAAATTCCCAACAATGAACTTGATTAATCAAAATGATGTGACAAAATGCCCATCTGTAATCAGAAGAAGATAAATTTAACTTCAAGTAATACAAAATGTGAGAAACTTCCAGGCTATACTAAATCTCTCCTTGTAGGGAACGCTCAATAAGTACAAGAAAAGGAAGAAGAGGAGCCAGAAGTAATATTACATCTCGAGAGTCACCAAAAGAAATCTAAGGAAAACTATACATTGGGATGGTATTCTGCAGGGGCTAAACCTGCCAACTCCATGTCGGCATCTAGCATTTCTGCATCTCTAGCTTAAATGATGTCCACTCCAATTCAAGTTCGTTATTTTCATGGACACTTTAACTGGTGTATCAAAAGGGCAACAAGATGGCAAAACAGGAGCATGGTGTACCATGCAATAAATAAAAGTCCCTCCATTTAATTGATATCAGCTTGGAATTCTTTACTTGCAACTAAGTCATCTCTAAATTTCCACTCGTATCACCATCATTAACTCTTCATTTTTGTGTAAAACACCAATTCCTTAAGTTCAACGCGGTCTTCTCGTTTAGACTTTCAAGCACTTTACCTCTATGTTCGTCCAATTCTCCATCGAATGCAATTTGAACTAGAAGGAGCGCATTTAGGAAAAGCGAAAGAAGTAGAACGAGATAAGGCCAATCACTCAGAGGGCACAACAACAAACTGAACAGAAAAAACAGAACTTTTTTTCTAGACGAAGCATTTACCAGGAGAGATTGCCCACAGCCTCTGCCAATTGAAGCGATGAAGCACCCCACCTTCTCATCCTCCGTGTGACCATGGCCAGCAAATCCTTCTCCGGATCCCACTCAATTCACGCCATCTTCACCTGCCGCCAACCGGAAGAAATCGAGCAACAGCCTCACCCAAAACCGAGTCGGAACACAATCGAATCGGCCACGCTCATTAGGAGGTCGCGAGAAGAACGCCCGAACGGGGGAGCCGAACCTGAGAAGCCGAGCGCGGCTTGTCGAACTGGAGCCGAACCTGAGAAGCGCACGCCGCAATCCTCCGTCGGTCTCCATAGGCTCAAAAAGCTCCGGGAGCAGCCGGAAACGTAGTAGCCAACCAGCTGCTGGAGCGAACCGCGAGGGGGTGTACAGGAGCGTCGGTGGCAAATGCGAACCGAGAGGGAGGTAGAGCTAGTGAAGGATAGGAGAGAGGCCGATGCTGCTTAGGGGAACGGACGGAGGGGGCGGTCGATGAAATGAGACGGAGGAGGATGGAAGAGGGGAAGAGCGAGAGAGAGAGAGATTTGACTACGGGAGTGGAGGCGGACTTTACTTGATTAATGGGCGGGCCATATGTCGGGCTTAACAACTAAATAGCCTCGTCAAGCAACGCTGAATGGTGGCCCCCCGGGCCCAGTTCCCGGCCCGCCAGACTACTGATCATGTCAAGGCGCGGCTGGGTTATAGAGTTTTATGTGGAGTTTTAGGAGTAAGTCACGGAGCCTAAGCTTCAGGAGAAAATATTAGTTAGGACTATCTTACTAAATCAGCAATATGTCGCTCCATTCAGCGCTCGACACTTGTCCATATGGCGCCTACTATTCACCTTTTATTCCCTCTCCTCTGTTACTCTCTCTTCCCCCGTTACCGACCGACGGTGGATTGATTGTGGCGGTGACATGCATATGTATGTCTGCCGAAAAAGAAGATGGCAAAAAGTAGATGAGAGAGAGAGCAATGGTGGGGAGAAAAGTGTGAGTACGAGAGAGTAATAGAGGGGAGAGAGTAGAGTTGCATAATGGGACCCACCTTGCCACGTATCGCTCAATGAATAGAGTGGCATATTGCTGACTTGGCAAAACAATCATATTTAATATTTTCTCGAGCTTCAGAATAAAAGAGAAAGAGGGGGAAATATAAAGGGTTAGAGAGTAAGCCTTTGTGCGAGCTAGTTTGCTCCAAGTGTTGTGTACGTGGAGGGAGAAATTAATTTGTAACGGTGAGGTGGGGTCTTTTGCTCCATACAGTGCATAATAGTTTTGGAGGTTTCATCGAAGTGTTATCTTCGTACCGCATTTTAGTACAAGTGTGTTTCAAGTTGTTTATTGTAATCTTCTCATGTTACTGACAAAGCCATGTTTCTGTGTTCAACAATTGATATCAAATCTAGATGTCTGGGATCGGTTAGACTACGATCAAGTCTTCGTCCGTCTGCCAGATCGAGGTGAGTGATGGCATGATCAAGAAGATTTTGATGGGTAGCCCTGTTCTTGAGTACTCGAAGTTCGAAAGTTGCACGCATAGGGAGTGACCACATCAACATTTATTCAAGAAACTCTCGTGATTGATAGATATTGGCTAGTTGAAACTAATGATCCGCTGTTAAAAATTCTCGCTCCTCAATTGTTGTCATTGCGAGAGACACGGCATTTCCACCGTAAGAAGGTTAGAATATAGCCTCACGATGAATTTTCTTATTAATTGAAATAGAAGCGCTCTCATGAAAAGTAAGGCACATCAAGCCATCGTTGAAGAAACGAACACACTAAATAGAAAAGAGAACTTTCTCTAGTCGAAGCAATTACGATTGTCCATAGCCTTTGCCAATTGGAGCGATGAAGCGCCACCTTCGAGTCCTCCGTGACCATCGCCAGCAAATCCATCACCGGATTCCATTCAACCATCTTCATCTACTGATCGCAAATCAAGCAAAAATCACAAAACCAAGTCGGAAGCTGAAATGGAAGCACATGTCGCAATCCTTGGTCGATCTCCATAGCTAAAAGTTCCCCGAGCAGCCGAAAACACAGCACTAGCACTGGAAAAAGGCATTAAATTGAAGTGTTGGCTTTACTTTGCAACCGCAGTGGCCCACATTTCTTGTGCATTAGTTAGCAAATCGAGCTCTTGCTATCCAATTGATCAAAATCGATTATCCAGTGAGGCAATCCCTTGCACAGCGAGAGAAATAATATGACAAGAAAAGGCATTAAAAGAGTACATGAATCTCCCTAATATTAATTGGTTATCAAATGCGATCATCGATTCCTCAAGGACTGCTCTAGTTAATGACAAGGAACGAGACAAATTATTGGGCATTTGTTTTTGAAAACTATGTTGTTAGTTGGATTCTAAGATTGCATGTTTTATGAGGAGAAAATGACACAAATGATCCATGAACTTTGGCCCACCGTGCAAATGTTATTCTTAAACTTTTAATTTGTTCAATATAGTTGATGAACCATTAGTAAATGTTCAATTTAATTATGTTATTTGATGAAGTGGATTATTGTATGCTGAGTCGGACGTATAAAAACGATTAGTCAGACTTTATTCAATGATGATAATTTTTTTAAAAAAAGGGTTAATACCACGAAAAATCCTAAACTGGTACATCTGCGACAAATTTATCCCAAATTAATTTTTTGACCACAAAAAATCCCAAACAAGTACACCTGTGATAAATTTATCATTCATTAGTTTCCATTAACTTTTACAGTCAAATTGCCAAGTTGGATGACATGTAGCAGTTTTTTTTTTGGTTGGAAACACGGGGCAGCGAGTAGGTGTATCAGTTTTGGGTTTTACTGTCTGTTTCTAGTTTGTGGTTTTTGTGATATTAAACCAATTTAACGAAATCTAACGGAGGGTAAATTTGTCACAAATGTACTAATTTTGGGTTTTTGGTGGTCAAAAAATTAGTTCGAGATAAATTTGTTGTAGACATATCAATTTTGGGTTTTTCATGATATTAAACCTTTTAAAAATAATAAAACATTATTTGATGACATACACTTCATAACGTTGATTATTATATTATGAGATAAAAACTAATGTGGACAATCTATATGTAACTATCTTTTTTTTTTTGGTTTACAACGGATTGGAAGCCACGTTAGCATATTTCATTAAACTTAAATTAACGGAAGGATAATATTGGATATTTTCATTTAACCTAAGGGCTAGATTGTACATTGAACAAATTAAAAGTTCTTGTACGACATAACACCTTGGATTAAAATTCATAAACCATTTATGTCATTTTTCCTTTTATGAAAACTAATTCTTTGTTACAAAGCTAAAGCAACATCAACCGAGCTTCAATGTCCCAAACAGCAAATGCACATCAATTGGGTTCTAGCAACCTTGTTCTTCACACCAGAATCATTTTCTACTCTGGTTCTATCGGGCAATGATTCACTAAGAACTAATACAATCCATGATCAATTTTTTCCCCAAAACTAAACCTACCAAAATCGACTTAATCAAGCAACAACCCACAATATATTCTAGCGTTACAACTTCAAAATAAGCAAATATAATGCTGATGAAATGTTAAAAAGACAAGGCAATAATAATACCAAGATTTTCACCTGGAAAACCCAACGAGGGAAAAAAACCACGGACCGTTCAAAAACTTTCACTAATCATTAAGAATAGTAGGATACACAATTGTTCTTCCTTAATCACACACTAAAGGCTCAACTGTAATATTATTTCATCACCACAAAGGTGAGTTAATAAAAATAAAGCAAGAAACTCTAATCGCGATTGGAGAAAACGAAAGACAATTTGGAGAAGGTTTTCGATGAACAAACAACATTTTAAAATTGAGTCAATTCCGACAGCGTTTGGCCTTTGAATATGGACCGAAAAGTCGCTGCCCCTTTTTCTTCTTCTGGTGCATTCTTCTCGGGGAACGCTCGCTCTCTCTCCCTCTCCACTCTTCACTTCACCAACAGCCCCTCCCTTTCTTTTTCTTTTTGACCTTTTCCTTCTTCTGTTATGTTATGTTAGCTGAACCCCACAAAGAGGCGGGCCCAGCCCACAAACCTCCATCATTCTAATAGCAAAATCAACAGCAATAAGATCTCAGCCTCACAAAACTTTGATTGCGAGACCTTCGACCGCATGGGATACACCCGTTCCAAGCCAACTCTGACAGCAGCTTTCCGTAGTAAGAACCTCTAAGTTCTTTATCAACCCCACAAACTTTAGCAGGCAAGCATCAAATTGCTTCCACTTTAGTATGAAGATCCATACCTGAATCACAAATAACTCTCTTTGAATATAGACTCCAATAGACCTTCATAGAGGTGTCAACTATGATACCGACTTAATAATACAATCATCCGATGCATTGGTCATGATATCAAACGAGTTGGTTATACTTTCACTATTTCAGAAACCTCTTATGTTAACAGACAGTTTCAGCTCTGCAAAGCTTCTGTTAAATATGATCAAGGCAATGTGGGATGACAATATGCAAACATCCTTACCATTCCAAGGATGCATTGTCAGAGTTTGAAGAAGTTCAAGAAACATCAAGCTGCTGATCCTTTGATGATTTCGAAAATCTTCCATGAACCCATATAAAAGCTGTTGGACTGTGAGATAAGATTCTGAGTTTGAAACTTAACTGCAAACAAAGCATTGGAAATAGCATGTAAGATATGAAGAATAAAATAGTCTGTTAAGAACAAGTTCAAGAAGTTGTATCAAAGCAAATTCAGAGTCATCCTGCAGAGCCGCACAGAGAAGTGATTAGCATGAAAAAAAAGTAGTTCTGCTCTGCACATGTGAATCTCTGGATATTATATGTAGTTTCAGATTAAAGGCATATACCCCATAGAAGGACAGTGAATTGGGAATGTATCTGGTGGATGCTGAAACTGACGTAACAGGGAAGAGTGGCAATAAATTCTTAAAAAGTATCTTTTTCGAAATAGAAGAGAAAGGCATCAGGGAAGCTTTCTTGAAAATGTGATGATCAAATTAGTTCCTAATCAGGAAACATGAGATACGGTATTTCTGTACACGAGGATCATAAGCTAAACAGAGAGCCCAATCCGATAAGATCACCCAACTAAAGCTTTCATGTACATTGTCAAGTAATCAAACCTGAGATTAAATACGAAAAACTAGATTATTAGACAGGGTGAGTGAAAAACCATTTGAGGACAACCTCCGGAAGACAACCCCTAAACCCCAATAGTTTCCTCTTCTTTCTCTCCTTCTCTCATTATGGTAGCAAGGTTCCGGTCACTTAGGCAAAGAAATGAAAAATATAAATACAACTTTATGGTAATAGGCATATGGATAGAAATATCTACAGACAAACCCAATTAACAGAATTCCTGAATCAGCCAAACAAGAAATGAATATTTCAGCTCAAATAATTGATGAGTTTGTTAAAACCAAAAGCACAAGCTTTTTTTTTAAAGGATTGCAATGCTTATAGAAACCATTTTTGAGCCTGGGTAATCATACTCAAACTCCTGTTATGCATACAAAGAGATCCAGAATTTCACATTTGGTGCACATATCACCAATGGGGACCAGATTTGAAGGGTGGAAAAAGCAATCACTTCAAACAACATATAACAGCAATTATTTATCACATAGTTCATATTTTTATCACTGAGGTAGCATATTAAAGAACATTTATGAATGGAAAAAGTAGATTAGCATTAATGAGAAGAATTTATGATGAAAGAGCAATAAGCAACACATTCAAGTAAGAACTTCTATACACAAACAAGATTCTATTACCTTTCAGCTTTCTAATTCTTTTGCTAATACCCGCATTCCATCTGTTGAAATTCCTCCACAAGTGTCCTCCACAAATATTCGGTGCCCCCAAATCCTCTAAACTACAGTAATTCTCTGACTCTCTGCATCGTTTCTCTGAGACAATAATGAGGGTAAGACGTCTTGCTAATCTAACAAGATATATCAAGGCAGAAAAGCGCAAGGAATTGCATTTGATCTTTTGGAATGTGAGACCGCCAATCCAATGAGAAGCGACAATCAACCCGTCAATTTCAACCCTGGTTACCATGTGGTTACTTAAAATAGTGCTGGACCAACAATAACCACAGTTGAAGCCCAGCAAACCACTCTAACTCGAGTCAACCTCATCTAGTGGAAGTGCTCCTAAGTATTTCCTGTTCCAGTCATGGAACAGAATTGGGAGAACCTGTAGGTGTTATTGCAGGAAAGATCCTAACTTTAGTGCTTTGGTGGGTGTCCGTTAACTCATATCCTCAATTTTGGCAACTAATTTGGTCACATTGCCTTAAAGCATAAGTCAGCCGCTAAAGCACATGAAAATAATACTAGGCTTGACAGCATATCATTCCGACATTTAAAGCATGACCAATTTCCATTACACCCTAATATTCTAACTCTCTGCTATATAAATGGATTGCACAACCTAGCAAAGGCCAACAAAATTAGCCGCTAGAGAACATGAAGGCAATACTAAGCTGACCACACCTCGCAGTATCCAAACCATTGTCTCACCAAATTTCAGGCACAAAGGATGAAGAGATGACCCACCACCCTTGGAATTATAAGGTCATCTTATGTCCAATTATGAATCCAGTCTCGCTTCATGTCTCCAAATGATACATATGATTCTATAATTAGGGCCAAGCGAACCTTTTCTTATTAGCTGAATGAAATTCATTAAGAAAACCGAGGAGCAAAACTCACAGATAATTCACAAGAGAAAAAATTTATAATTAAATGGTTAGCCATTCTATCAACAATAATGACATGCCACAACTCAGCCCAAGTAAAAGTATATGTGAACTGAAATGACAGGAAAAAGTTTAACTTTCAAGATATAAGTACACAAGGAATTTCTATTGGAAGATTTCTATACATGGTGATGCCAAACAATCCATTTGGTACGTCCATCAGGTATAAACAACTAACAACTAAAGATTCTGGGGTTCCAGGTGCCGTATTATACAGGACATATTGTTAGCGGAATAATAATCTATTTTATTGATCAGAAAGTACGGTATATATACACATCAAAATCCCAAAGACCATTATACCCTTTAACACTCCCCCTTAAACTGGAGCATGGATCTCAAGCATGCCCAGCTTGTTACAGATATACTCAATCCTACTTCCCCCTAGAGATTTGGTGAAAATATCAGCTAGTGTTCACCGGTTCTAACATGACTAGTAGAAATAACTCTAGCTTGAAGTTTATCACGGACAAAGTGGCAATCAACTTCGATATGCTTGGTACGCTCATGGAAAACTGGATTTGAGGCAATATGGACAGCTACTCGATTATCACACCACAACTCCATTGGCACAGGGTCTTCGAATCCAAGTTCAACTAATAATTGACACATCCAAACTAGGTCACAGGTAGCTTAAGCCATAGCTCTGTATTCTGATTCTGCACTTGATCTAGCCACAACACTTTGCTTCTTACTCTTCCAAGATACTAGGTTTCCTCCTACAAAGATACAATATCCTGACGTAGACCTCCTATCTATAGGAGATCCTGCCCAATCAGCATCTGAGAAGGCTTCCACCCTTCTATGACCATGATCCTGATAAATGAGACCACGACCGGGAGCTTTCTTCAAGTATCTCAAAATTTTGATTACAGCATCCCAATGTGAGGTACGGGGAGAAGACATAAACTGACTCACAACACTCATCGGAAAAGAAACATCAGGTCGAGTGATAGTTAGATAATTTAGCTTTCCAACAAGTCTTCGATACCTCTCCGGATCATCCAATAGCTCACCATCCTCTGCCATCAATTTAGAGCCCACTTCCATTGGTGTATCCAGTGGTTTAGCACCTGGCATACCTGTCTCTATAAGCAAATCCAGAACATATTTTCGTTGTGAGATATAAATACCTTTCTTCGCCCGTGTTACTTCGATACCCAGAAAATATCTAAGAAGACCCAAATCCTTTGTATGAAACTGCTGTTGCAAATACCTTTTCAACTCTTTAATCCCTGTAGAATCATCTCCAGTTATGACAATATCATCCACATAAACTACAAGGAATATCCGACCAGCTCCAGAAACTCGATAAAACATAGAATAATCTCCAGTACATCTACACAACCCAAACTGGAGTACCGCCTCAGTAAACTTCCCAAACCAGGCTCTGGGAGACTGTTTCAAGCCATATAAAGATTTGTTTAAGCAACAAACATGACCAGACTCCCCCTGAGCAACAAACCCTGGTGGTTGCTCTATATACACCTCTTCCTGTAAATCTCCATGAAGAAAGACATTCTTTACATCAAGCTGAAACAGAGGCCAACAAGCAGAAGCAGCCAAAGAAAACAAAAGACGAACGGAGGTCATCTTAGCTATCGGAGAAAAAGTATCACCATAATCAACCCCATAAGTCTGTGCATACCCTTTAGCAACCAGTCTAGCTTTGAGATGAGCAAGAGAACCATCAGGGTTAACTTTAACAGTATATACCCACTTATATCCAATGGTTGTTTTCCTTGCAGGCAAAGGAACAAGATCCCAGGTCTGATTTTGGTCCAGTGCCTGTAATTCCTCTTCCATAGATGCCCTCCAGCCTAGACTAGATAATGCTTCAGCAACAGTTTTAGGAATAGGATGATTATCAATGGTCATTAGACTAGCTCGACAAGAGGCAGATAAACCAGAATATGAGACAAACTGGGCAATAGGGTGTTTGGTACAACTACGAACTCCTTTGCGATGAGCAATAGGAATATCGAGATCAATACGTGACTGACTTACCTCAGGTTTAGAAGACGAAGTAGAGGAGATAGGCCGAGGTACATCTGCAGGGGGCTCCACATGTTGACGAGGACGTCTGTTATAAACATACTGGACAGGTGGAGGAATAATTGGACGGTCCAAAGTGGGTGTTGATTCCATAATAATATATGTTAAGGAATCATCATCCACTGTAGGAGTCTCCATCGAATTATCAAAATAGACAGTAGACTCGAAAAAGGAAACATCTGCAGTGATGAAGTACTTATGCAAAGAAGGACAATAATGGTAACCTTTGTATACAAGAATACCCAACAAAAATGCATTTAAGAGATCGAGGATCAAGTTTGGAAAGTCCTAGACGATGGTCACGAATATAACAAACACAACCAAATATACGAGGTGGCAAATGAAACGAAGGGTCAGAAGGAAAAAGAAGAGAGTGAGGAGTGGCACCCTTAAGAACAGAGGACGGCATGCGATTGATAAGATAACATGCTGTCATAACAGCATCAGCCCAAAAGGATTTATCTACCTTCATTTCAAACATCAAACAACGAGTAATTTCTAACAAGTGATGGTTCTTCCTTTCGGCTACACCGTTTTGTTGTGTTGTATCCGAACAAGAAGATTGATGAAGAATGCCCCGTTGGGACATGAATTCAGAGAATGTTCGAGAAAAATACTCCTTGGCATTATCACTTCGAAGAATGCAGACAGAAGCAGAAAATTGAGTATGTACTTCATTAACAAACACACAAAAAATAGAGAATAATTCAGAATGACTTTTCATTAGATATAGCCAAGTGGCTCTTGAATAGTCATCTACAAAAGTCACGAAGTACTTGAAACCCAACTTTGAAGCAGTAGGACATGGACCCCAAACATCAGAATGAACTAAAGAAAACGGCCGAGAAGCCTGTTTATTGACTCTTGGACTATAACTAATACGATGCAATTTTCCAAACTGACACGACTCACACTCAAAACTAGATAAAGAATGAAACCGAGCATCAAGTTTCTGCAAACTTGCTAAAGAAGGATGTCCCAAGCGACAGTGAACTTGATGTGGAGAAACTGCTGAACAAGCGACACTGGTAGCATTATCAAACACATATAGTCCCCCTGACATATGTCCTTTACCAATCGTCTTCAAATCCTGAAAAACACAGGAATCATGATAGAAGGTTATAGAACAGTTATATTCTTTGGTAAGATGACCAACAGACATAAGGTTAAATGGAAAATTTGGGAGGTACATGACAGAGGATAAAGATATGGAGGATGTCAGTGGTACTGTGCCTATCCCTTTCACTTTGGACAAAGAGCCATCAGCTAATGTAACACTAGATGAAGACTCATGAAAGACAGAAAAGATACCTGAAGATCCAGTCATATGATCAGTAGCACCTAAATGAATGACCCAGGGGCGAGAGGTAGATGAAAGACATGCTGTTGCATTACCTGTCTGAGCAAAAGTAGCTGTGGAAGAGGAAACTGGCTGAGAAATCTGGAATTGATTGTACCTAGCAAGTTCCTCTTCTGACATTCTAATAAGTGTTCCTCCTTCAGAAGACTGTGAAGAAACACCCAACTCTACTGCATTGGCTACATTAGCGACAGCCGAATGAGGGGGCTTTCCATGAAGCTTATAGCAAAAATGCTGAATATGTCCAGGCGTACCACAATAATGACATGTTCGTGCAAGTCCGGTATTACTCCCTTTGTCACTAGAGATGCTACCATATGACTGTGATTGGCCTCTATTGAACCCACGGCCACTACCACCACTATTAAAGCCACGGCCACTACGACCACCACCACGACCTTGACCACCACCTCGATTTCCTTGGACTGCCAAGGCAGAACTATCACCTGTGGGGGATATATCCTTAGATGACTCAAGTGAAACCCTTAAGACCTGAGAAAAGGTCTCCGTTAGTGAAGGCACAGTATTTCCTCCAAGAATTTGTGAACGAATTGCATCGAACTCTGGTCCAAGTGCTCCCAAAAATCCCATAACAGCCAATTGTTCTTGTTGCTCCAGCATCGTCTTAACATCAAAGGTAATTGGCAAAAGATGATTAAACTCCTCATACATTTGTTTAAAATCAGCAAAAAATTGAGTAAGAGACTGATTCTTTCTGTCAGCTCTAAAGAAATCTTGGGAGACTTCATAGATCCTTGAGAGATTATTTTCCCCAGAATAAAGGACATTCAAGTAATCCCACAAATCCTTAACAGTAGTGGCATGTGTAACTAAGGCAGCCACATGAGATTCCATAGAATTCCACATTTGTCCAAGAATTCTGGCATCCATGGTATCCCATTTAGTATCAAGAGCAGTTCGTGCACCTGTCAAATGGTGATTTTGCTCTTCCGGTCAATACTATCACCACAATTCTCTTCCAATGCTGAAAGTTGGTGACCCCAGCTAATTTTTCCTCAGTCAAACGATTAGAAGATGTAGATACGACTTCAGTCAATACTCCTTTGTTCTTATTTGCCATAATCAAACACTCACACTAAACCAGGAACAAAGCTCCACAACCTATCACAACACTGATCACCAACCAAATAAAACAATGTTCAACCTCACGTAAATCAGAAAACCAACACCAGTTGAATCAAACCATACACTTCAAAATGATCGACCAAATCCGAACCAATCAACACATCAGTTCGGCACATCAGTAGTTATACGCAACAGTACTCAGCCCCTCTCTTCTCTCAATCTACATGTATAGAACCACACGTAATCAGCCAATTAGCCAAACCAACATACACAGCAATAATCTCCCTTCCCTCAAGCATATTAGCAACCAAGTCAAACTTTAGAACACATTCACCTTTTTTTTTTTTAGCGATTCCACTTCAATCCGCAGCCATCAGAAGGGGCCGCTCCTCATCTAGTGACGTCAGAAGACGTCGAAGTGGGTCGTCCAGCCTGGAAACCTTCGATCGACGCTTGGAGGACTTAAATCGGTGCCGGAAATGGGGTCGTCGGGCCTGGACGACCTCAGATCTGGCTCGTCGGAGCTTCAGCGGGACGCCGGGATGAGGTCGCTGGCCTTGTATGAGGTCGCCGGTTTTGGGTTCTACTGTGGATGAGGTTGCAGGCCTTGGGTTCTACGGTGGTTGGTGGTGGGCGACAATAAGACGACAATAATTTTAGGGTTTAGGCTCTGATACCATGTTAGCGGAATAATAATCTATTTTATAGATCAGAAAGTACGGTATATATACACATCAAAATCCCAAAGACCATTATACCCTTTAACACATATAATTAGGAACTAGAACAAGTTAGAGAAAATCACTCACGGATCAATGTCAATTGCTTCATCAGCCTCAGATAGATCTAGAAGCTACATGACAGGATCTTGATCATATAGAAACTTCAAGAACACAACAAGAAGTTCACTGTCGAAATTCACAAGAGTATATAGGAATTCACCATAAGGAAGGACCCCGATTGACAAAAGTTAGACAAACCTATTGTATGTTAAAAGCTGATCACTTGGCTTTGACATCAATCGCTTACATTTATCAAGAAAGGTAGAGATATCATAAGAAAGATTTAACAGGCATACCGGCTGCACAACAAAAGTTAGACAAACCTATTGTATGTTAAAAGCTGATCACTTGGCTTTGACATCAATCGCTTACATTTATCAAGAAAGGTAGAGATATCATAAGAAAGATTTAACAGGCATACCGGCTGCACAACATATGAGAGCACCCTTATGAATCACTGAACCTGTAGAAGCAACATTCCAGCCTTTTCTACTACAATATCCACTAGTGTCTCATCCAAACCAATACCTAGATAACGAGAATGCCATCTTGAAAGACCCCTGAGCTCACCCATTCTAAAGTCAATAATTTCTACAGCAGGCTGCTAGGTAAATAATAATACTTCAATTACTTAACCCCATAAGTCAAATATCATCTCTTATTAAGGAAACTGACACACTCATGAGGGATAAAAATAGCATTGAACACATAAGTTACATGCTGGAACCATCGAAGTTAAAAGTTTACGAAAGAAAATGTTTTACACAGTAAATGGTCATTACAAGCCATCTTCATCTTCTGCAAACTTGTTTGAACAAAACAACATGCTCTAGAGTCTCTGACAGATAAAAGTTATACTGGAAAATTCATTAAAGAAATGCAACCTAGTCTGCTATCCAATTCATGCAAACAGGATAGAAGTTTGGAATGTTCATGTGAAATTATCAAGTCCTGCCCCAAAGTTGCTGAGAGAGAGAGAGAGAGAGAGAGAGAGAGAGAGAGAGAGAGAGAGAGAGAGAGAGAGAGAGAGAGAGAGAGAGAGAGGCCATTTATGTGATAATTGTGGGCTATAAGCACAATATTGACAGGAATTGCTAGTGTTTTCAAGGAGACAAAGACCAAGCCCTTCTGTTGTTAGCTTGGGGAAGGGCAATTGCTTTACAACATTCAAATATCGAACCGCATCTCTATCCAACAGCTTACGCTTTTGACCACTTAGCACTAGTCCCAAAAATTCCACATGGAACTAGAGTAGGAGGTACTCGATTCAAAACTCTCCCTGTTACCTATTTATCTCCACAATTATCAAATGTTTACACTTCAATCTAAGGCGAAGTCCTAGCCTACGAGAGAGGTGGAGTATTATAACATTTTAATAGTAAACCACATCTTTATTTCACGGCTTAATCATTTTATCTTTTGGAAATTGTTCCACAAAATTCTACACCGTTGAAGGCACATTTTGAATAGACAAAAGGAGAAAGGAGCCCAAAAGCATTGATCGGCAGTACCATGGGGTTAAAGAGAGTTCATAACCCTTGGTAAGAAAGAAATAGGCAGGCTTTTAAAGATGAGGAAAATTCTATAGGTGCAGTAATGGATTTTTGGCTTTCCACCTTATTTTTTCCACATTGTGGTGGCAGTTATTGGCACACCTAGTCTTTCTTTAATTTTGAAGGTAAATATGAACTTATAGGTGGTAATTTGTAAAAAAGAGGCATCCCGTTGGTGCTCTTGTTGCCCAATAATAGACATACTTATCAAAAAATAAAACAGGAGAGTCTATAACCTTAAAGAACATAACTAGAAACATCATTTCTCACTATAGTAGTAATCAACAGGAATGTGTAGCGCATACATGAGTCATTCTACCCAAGAGAAGCACAGAATCTGATCTAATTAACAACAGCCCTATAGTGTGCATGTACATGTGTGGGAACACCTGTGCAAGCACATGATCGCACATAGGTGCACACCAAAGCATATGTTCACAACACACAAATGCCCACATGCATGGACAGAGATTTGGCAAGGGAATAAACTGGTAATATATTTTCACTAGATAATAAAGGATTTTGTTAAAAGAAAAAGTTCCAGTACATCAGTATATATAAGAAAAAAAACAAAAATAAAGCATTAGAAGAGTATACATAATCAGAACATAGTGCTCAAAGCCGGTTAAAATGTACAACCCCGAAGCAACCAAAGATTCCAAACCCTACATTTTGTTGCCTTCTTTCCTAAGGCCCCACATGAGACAAAGGTGCGGCACTTCAGGACTTCTTTTAAATTGATCCTCCTAATTAGGCATTCCAACAACTAAAAAACTGGATGGCATGTTTTGGCAAGAACCAAACCACCTTAGACAAGCTAAAGATTTGATGCAAAAGCTTGGGAGCGAAGTCAGAAAGAAGAAAGAGATGATCAACATTTTCCCCCAAATGCTTTCACACACAACGCCATTCTATGAAAAATCAAATTCCGTTTCCCGAGATTTTCAATTGTAAGAATCTTATTCCAATTTGGGGCAGATTTACTAGAAAACTTACACTCCCAAGCAATGGAAATTGATTCTCAAGGAACAAGGAAGCTGTCACGCCCCGAACCCCACGGCGCGCCACATCCCTCACAAAGGTCGATTCAATGCGACGTCCCAGGACGCGTCGCCGACCCAACGCCCAAACAACAGAGAACAAAGCACAGCGGAAATAGCAAACACCCGAACAATAACTCACATAACCAAGGATAGCCACACCCCCATCAATATAAACAAATACATACTTGCATTGCCAGGGAGAACCTTTACAGTATTCATATACAGCATGAACCTCAAAAATCAAAAGCGGGTCAACAGCCACCAACGTCAAAAAGGGGGGTACGTGGCTCGGCGATCAAGTGCTATATCTAACCGGGGCATCTCCCAAAGCATATCAGCACACCTGCCATCCTCAAGGTCGGGGGTCTGAAAAATTGATTTTCAACAACAATGAGAATAAATCTCAGCGAGTAGGTTCCCTAAACCTAAGCTAGGCTAACATGCACCTCCTGACGAGCACTAATCAACACACCAATCAAACTATAATTGACTTAGGCCCTCGGGCCCAAATCCAATACTCACTTTGCCCTGCAAGTTAGGCACTTACAATTCAAGAATAAAACATAGGACCCAAACGCAACACATGCGCACATTACTTGGTCACAACGCATGTCATGCTTATGCTCGTGCTCATACGCGTGCTCACACCTCATCAATGCATTTTCGCACGCTTGCACTCAGCACACTTGCCATTTATCAATTTCTCCTCCGACCCGCGTAAAACGCATCAGGTCCGACCCGCGTAAAACGCATCAGATCCATCACTTTGAGATCGATCTCTAGCCCGCGTAAAACGCATCAGGCTCATGGCACAACACCCGCGTAAAACGCATCAGGTTTGGCCATCTTCCGGTAGACCGGGCATCGTCCCGCGTAACACGCCTCAGGACGGGTTCACTACCCCGCGTAAAACGCATCAGGGTTTATTGTGATCACACATTCACAAGTACCAATTTTCATCTGAACCCCGCGTTAAACGCATCAGGGCATTTTAGGTGATCACAATGCACATGTCACTCGAGCACACTTGTAAATGCACATGCCGTGCCAATGCTCGTGATGCAAACTCATGGCCATAAACTTCACACTCGGGCATTCACGGTTTTCACAATGAGCATTCAATTGCACAACGCCGCTTATTCAATTCACCACATAATATGCTCAATTCAATAAATCACAAGCCCAAGTAATCAACCATCCATTCCAGCCATGGCACAAACTTGGCACATAATTCACGCATACAAATCACACAATTGAGTCAACATCAATTCACGCACTCGAGGCCCGGCAAGAGACTCCATTCTTAGTCACACTAGGCACATGACACGGCACCACAAAATTGATCACAACCCAGTACAAGTCAGCCACTTAGCCCGCCAACCTAAACATTCCCGATAATCACACAATTAACCTCCAAATTGATCGCTCATAGACCAATTCAAACCCGGTATGGACAGCCACCAAACAAATCGTCCTAGGCCAACAAATGTTCTCAAAACACTCCATTTGACTCCCCAAAATATCACTCAAATCAGCCACCATGAGGACCAAATGAGGCGCGCACTATAATCCACATTTGAACCCGAAATCAACCCCAAACTCGGGCCGAATCATTCCAATACGTTCAGCCTTCATGCAGCACATTCCAAGTCATTACACCTCATTAAAATGATCCCGTTAGACCACCAAACCGCCATGAAATCAGCCGCTATTCGGTCTTCAATTTACACCCGCCAAATTTACAATTTGTACCCGAACCAAGGCGTCAACGCTCAGCCACTATCCAGCACACCACAGACCACTAAACCTCGATTAGAACATCATGCTAACCCACCGAATGCGCCACAACATCAGCCCTTAACAGCCTCCACAAACTAACCCCCAAATTGATCGCGCCTTGTCCGATTCAAACCCGATATGGACAGCCACCACACCGGTCCCTCTAGGCCACTAAATATCCTCAAAATGCTCCATTAGACTCCCCAAAACACCATTCTAGTCAGCCACCACAAGATCGAATAAGGTGCGTACTATAATCCCCATTTCAAACCCGAACTTTCCCGAACTCGGGCCATTCCGACACAAACCTGTCCAGCCAATATACAGCGCCTCTCGGGCCACTAAACCTCCATTAATTCATCACACTAATTCACCGAATCCGCCACAATGACAGCCCCTAATCACCTCCACAATTTAACCCCCAAATTAACCTAATTAAACCCTAAAACCCATCTAGAAACGCACATTAGTCTAATTAGGGTTTAGGGTTGTACTCACCGGGTGTCCTAAGCTTGAAACGGGCCAAACACGCGACGAAAAGGGGCTGGGCAGCGGCGGTCCCTCGCCGGAACAGTGACGGTAGCGGCCGAGCTCCTTCAGCTCAAGGCCTCTCACGGCCAAACCGAGAGAGAGAGAGAGAAAGGAGAGGGGGCTTGCCGGCTGCTTGGGGGAGAGACAAGGCGGCGACCAGCGGCACCGGAGGCGGCGACGGCGACGGGGGCCAGCCGGCGAGCCGGCGAGCCGCACCCGATGAGCGCGGGCGCGTCGCGAGCTCGCTGGCCGGGCGACGACCACGACGGCTCGGCTGGGCTGAGCGACAGCGACCCGCAGCGGCAGCGGCGGGGCGACGGAGCGGGCGGGCGAGCCGGCCGGGCCGGCAAGCAAGGAGAAGAAGAAGCGACGGCGTCGGGCGAAGGGGAAAGAGCGAGAACCGGTCGGGGTCGTGGGGAGGAAGAAGGAAGAGAAGAGAGAAGAGAGAGAAGAAGAAAGAGAAAAGAAAAAGGAGGAGAGAGAGAGGGGAGTGGGTGAGTGGTCTGACTTGCAGAGGGGGAAACGTGACCGGAGGGGGGGAAAGAACGTGCGCGGTTAGAGGAAAAAAAAGAGAGAGAAGGAGAGAGAAAGAGAGAAAGAGAGGGAAAATAAAAGAAAATATTTGAACATTCAAATATTATTTGCAATCCGATGGCCCAAATTAAAAACCGAAAGTGGTTTACCGGTCCAAAATAAGCCTCGCACATAAAAATGGACAAAGACCAAATTAATTAAACCAAAACATAACGAGGAAGGTCTACTAGTCCAAATTCGCACGTGGTCAAAAACTCCCCTTTTTCCATCATTCCTGACAATCTCAACGCTGGCCACAACAATATCGACACCGTCCAATTTATTTCGTCCCGAAACTCCCGAAAATCGACTGCCAAGTTCGGGGTCTAAATAACGGTCAAATTCGATCGAGTGCGATTCTAGCGAAATCTCTAATTAAAAAATAATAACCGAGAGTGATCAGTTTTCGGGAGAGATTTTACTATAAGCACACTGACAAATTACACGTTTTATAAATCCCAAAAATGGGCCGAAATTCGGAATGTCACGTAAGCTTTGGTTGCAGATTGTTATCGTTTAAACAACGAAATGATCATATGGAATATTGAGTCCATGAGCCAAGCCCAAGATTAGGAGTTCGAAGCTTTTTCCTGCCTTCTTTTATGCCTTGCATAATTCAAAGATTTTTGTTGCTTTTAAGGATGCTCTCGTGTGGAACAACAGAAGAGACGGAATTTTTTCTGTAAAGTCTTACTACAAGCTGCTCGATAGGCAGATTTGTGGTAGAACAGATTTTCCTCAGAAAGCGATTTGGAAAGTGAGGATTCCAATTAGAGTTTCTCTTTCTGCTTGGGAAGAAACCTGGGAACAAATCCTTACTTTAGATATGAGGCAAAAACTGGTTAACAGGTTTTTCCTCCGCAAAAGGAGGCATAGTCCGTGCGGCATCTCCTCCTTCACTGTACTTGAACAAGAATGGTTTGGACAGTTCCCTATGCTTGCACCATGTTATCTTGGGCTACCGGAGGTTTTATCGAGCAAGAACTTTGGGCATGGCAGGGCATTCGCTAACAGCACAACAGGTAGGATTAACTCAATTCCCGTGTCTTTTGGCTGATTTGGAAGGAGCGGAACAAGAGAGCTTTGGAAGGAGCGGAGCAAGAGAGCTTCTGATGAAGAGAAATCTTCCATTCTATTTGATGGAAATTTGGCTTAAAGTAATACACTTTTGATATAGTGCAAACATGCATATAGATGTAAATGCCTTGGTTGATTAGTCAATGATTTATCTGGCCTTTGAGCTCCCTTTCAGTTTTGGGAGTTGTTTTGTATATGGCTTTAGTTTTTTGGGCTCCTTTTGTTATGGGTTGCACCCCCTTGGTGCTTTACAGGTGAACTATATAATCTATAAAAAGAAACTTATACCTTTATGAAGATTTTAAGTTATTCCAATTACCCTTTATTCCAACACTTGTTATCCAACCATATAGTTTCAAGTACTAACATCAACATTTCACATATGATTTTGTGCTAATCAGCATAACCATCATCCACATACCATGCATTTATCAAGGGAAAAAACACTCCATTAACTCACAGTTGTAATTCGTTTTGCGAGTAAGATCACTGTTACAAAAGGGTGCCGCTACTACTGAAAGTCAAGATCTAAAAAGTTCAAGAGAAACTTTGGATCCAAAGAGCTACCAACACACTACCAAAAACGGAGCAATACTAGGGACTAAGAATAGTATAGAAAACTGATTTGAAGAGGCGAAATGCGATTATAATACGTAAGTACGTCGCAAACACCTAACACGAATCTATTTGGCACGTGACTTAGTAAACCAATTTCAATACTAGGACTCAACATCCTCTGCATTATTTTGCCAAAAAAGAGGTGTTACATCAAAAATCGTGATCTAAAGATACGATAAAAAAATAATAATATAAAATAATCAATTCTCACATCTAAGCACGAAACAAATGATTGTGAACAGAGGCCCCCATAACCATGGTTAAGCATCACAGATTAGATCCATGTAGGATCCATTCACTATCATCCGAGCACCCACCAATTAGTTTTCTGCTCATTTTCTTCATATAACTGAGTTTTCATTCTCATCCTTAGCTTGTTGACAGTAAACTTAACAAAGGAAAGAAGAGTTTCACTTACTACAGTGAGTGCAACGAGTGGAATTTGGTAGTATAAATTTCCCATAACCAATGATTAATGACTTACAATTTCCATTATACGGTTATAGGAGAGATTGCCAACTTGTTGAATCAAACTCAAATCAGATTTTACTTCACTCTTTCCAGCCACTTTATGTTGGTGATTCATATCATTGCATATGATAGTTCGTATGAAGAATCAACATAAGGATGTTCTGACAAATATGGTGTCTCAAGATGTGCGAAGCATAACTTACTGTAACAAATTCCTATTTCTATCTAATCACCTCCAAGACTGTTCTCTGAGAAGCGTCAAACTTAATTATTTATCAGGGAAAAAGGCCAAATGCAAAGATAATAACGTGCACTTGCAGATGATTGAGGACAACCAGCTGAAGTTCTTTTCCAGCCCCACAGACAGCTTTTGATACACGCTTCATACCCTATTGCTAAACAAACTAGCATACTAAGATTATAAAAACCAATAAAAAAAACAAAGGTCCTACAGCAGCATCGGAGCTTAAAAAACCAGCCATACCACTTTACCCACAGAATTAACAAGAAACTGATGGACTGCAGGACTGGTCCTAGCACCACCGAGAAGACTCAAAAATTCCTCCTGAGGAGAAGAGTCAAGACCTAGATAAGCAAACGAAAACAGTTAAATGAAGAAAAATGAAACGCCATCTACCGCTCTGTATTAACAGTACCACTTGCCATGGTCACTAATAAGGTTTGACAGCAAATCAAACTTCTCATGAAATATGTTGATGGCATCAGCCCACTGCTTATGCATGACTGATAATGATATCCGGATGACATGAAGTAAATCTTCAATGTTCAAAGCCTGTAAGCAACTTGATGAAGTTCATTGTTTCTGCAGACAGAAAGAGATTGATAATCTAAGGAGGCATTCGGCTGACAAAGATTCTCAAAAGTCTGTTCTGATTTCAATATGAGAACTAAAACAGAACAGAAAATGCGTTTGGTAACACTTTGAAAGCAGTTGATGCATAAAAGGAAAACTACTCTCAAAACCAAAAGCACAAGCTTTTTTTTAAAGGATTGGAATGTTTACAGAAACCAATTTTGAGCCCGGGTAAACATACTCAAACTCTTGTTATGCATACAAAGAGATCCAGAATTTCACATTTGGTAAACATATCAGCAATGAGGACCAGACTTGAAGGGGCGAAAAAGCAATCACTTCAAATAACATATGACATCAATGATTTATCACATAGTTCATATTTTTACCACTGAGGTAGCATGTTTAAGATTTGACCAAAAAAATAGGTAGCATGTTTAAGAACATTTATGAATGGAAAAAGTAGATTAGCATTAGGCTCCATTCGTTTGGCGGAAACCGGAAGTCATTTTCCTGGAAAATGTTTTCCCGGAACATAATTTTCCGGTGTTCGGTGACCAATATGAAAAAGTTTCGGAAAATATTTTTCACCGGTGACCGCCGGCCGCCGCCGGTCGCCGGCGGCCGGCGGCGGCGACGGCGGGCGACCGGCAGCGGCGACGGCGGGCGGCCGGCGACCGGCGACCAGCGGCCAACGGTGGTGACCGGCGATCAACTTCCTCTCCCACGGAAAATATTTTCCCTTCCATGGGCAATTTTGCCTTCAATTTGGGGGAAAATGATTTCCTCTTTGTGAAAAGAGGAAATCATTTTCCTCAAAACAATGAAGGATTTGGGGGTGGGGAAGGAAAATGTTTTCCCACGGAAAACATTTTCCGCCCCTGAACACCGGAAAACGCGAAAAATATTTTCCGAAAAAATATTTTTCCGCAAATGAACACAGCCTTAATGTGAAGAATTTATGATGAAAGAGCAATAAGCAACACATTCAAGTAAGAACTTCTATACACGAACAAGATTCTATTACATTTCAGCTTTTCTAATTCTTTTGCTAATACCTACGTTCCATCTATTGAGATTCCTTCGCAAGTGTCCTCCGCAAATATTCAGTGTCCCCAAATCCTCCAAACTGTAGTAATTCTCTAACTCTCTGCATTGTTTCTCTGAGACAATAATGAGGGTAAGACATCTTACTAACCTGACAAGATATATCAAGGCAGAAAATATTAAAGCTGTTGGACTGCAAAATAAGATTCTAAGTTTAAAACTTAACTGCAAACAAACCATTAGAAATAACATGTAAGATATGAAGAATAAAATATTGTCTGTTAAGAATCAAGATCAAGAAGACGTATCAACTTTTAAGTTGAAAGATGCATACTCTGCTCACATGGGCATCTTCCTCCCAATTGAGACACACCACTGCTACCGCACGGGACTTCAAGCTTCTCAACAGTTTTCCATTCTGCTTGATATTTATACCATGTTAGAAACTATTATAAACAGCATGTGTAACTGCTGCAAGCAGTAGCATATAAAAAGCAGCACACCACATATCCATAGTTAAGTAAAGAAAGCTACGTTGGTTTTCATTATGTATTATGTAAAAACAAACTCTCTTCCGAGCAAAACGAGTCCATGAAGTGGATGATGGTTAATAAGCTTAAGGCTTTAACATCAATGAAGATATGAACATTGTACATATTGTATTAGTTATTCATGCTGTCGGTCATGTATGGATTGGAATGACCCATTCGATCTAATTATTTGAACAGACTATTCATCTCTTCTCATTTGTCGACCTATTTAACAAATGGGCCATGTTCAATGATCTAATAAGATTTGTTAAGCTTATCCTGCTCAGATTGACCTATCTAACAGTCCATATTAACTTGACATTGGCAAACATGACCATTACACATGGATTGCCATCTCTATTAGCAGCTAAATGTTCATTTGGCAAGCTCGCTGTTTGCATTGCATCATGCAGCTTTTGAGCAATTCAGAATATTTCGCAAACGATATCAGAGAAGAACACATTCTGATGATTAAGGATTCCTGCAGGAGAAATTTCTTGTTGAGAAGTAATGAGGGTAACATTACAGCAATAGCATGGAAAACTTACTTCTACATCATGCAGTTAAACTGTACCATCTTCAAATCCCAATACAACAACCTTGCCATCAGGACGCCAGCATAATGATGTTATACATTTACCTGGAGTAGATTAGAATAATTAAGAGAAGCCAGTATTGATGACACACAACGAATGTGCAAAGAAAAGTGGGTTCATAAAAAAACAACCGAAGAAACAACGGAGAGAGAGAAAGAATAGAAGAAGAGGGAAGATAGAGAACGCACAGAAACCAGAAAATGTTAGTTAAAATTTGTGAAGTGAGGCAAAGCCTATATCTTTTGGGCAACCTCCAATCCATTATCTCAATCCAAAGATGAATCTTGTTGTTCCGCTTTGGAACCTCGAGGTGGAGTGGATCCACGAAAGCTAACTTCAGGCAAGGATCGCAAGAGTACTTGTATCTACAACTTAGGATTTTTACAGAAACCATTCGAGGGTTAGCTCAAGTACTCTAGTGCACTCAACAACATGTTCTCCAAATCCAGAAGACAATATGATGCGCGCTAAGCATTCAGATGTTTCTGGAGAAAAAACGCCTCCTCTCTAAATATTTCCAGTGGGAATAGATAGCGAGAATTGCCAAGGCTAGGCATCTATTCCTAACCTCTTACGAATTTGAATTACCAAGAGATAAAGTCATATAAGAACTTAAGATACTTGAATTCAGCTCCCTCTACACTCCTTGTCTCTGCACTTTCTCCAATTCCTTACTCCATCCCTCTCGACGAGATTGTCATACAAGAATGCAGCATAGCTTGAGATATACCATTAACAAGTAAAACTCCCACTAGTGAACTTGATTAATTAAAATGATGCGACAAAATGCCCCTCTATAATCAGAAGAAGATAAATTAACATCAAGTAGGACAAAATGTGAGAAACTTTCCAGCCTATACTCTACAATCTAGTATACATTAAATATGTCCGTGTACGGAACGCTCAATCAGTAAAAAAGAGGAAGAAGAGGAGCCAGAAGTAGCATGTACATTGTGAGAGTCAGCATTAGAAATCTAAGGAAAACTATATAGATGCCTGAAAGCATTGAGATGGTATTCTGCAGGGCCTAAACCTACCAACTCCATGTGGCATCAAGCATTTCTGCATCTGACATAACTAGTCTATCTAGCATAAATGACAGCCCCTCCAATTCAAGTTCTTTATTTTCATGGACACTTTAACTGGTGTACCCAGAAGGGAAACAAGATGGAAATACAGTAGTATGGTATACTTCCGGTTGGTCTAGATGACAGTCGGTTAAGTTAGGGAAAAAATCCCCTAAGGCACCAACATTGTCTAAAAGTTGGTAGGAATCTATCGCGCCTATAACTAAAAGTCCCTACATTCAACTGGTATCAGCTTGGAATTCTTTGTTTGCAACTAAGTCATCTCTAGATTTCCACTTGAATCACCTTCCTTCACTCTTTGTTTTTCTGTAAAACACCAAATTCTTAGTTCAACATCATGTTCTCATTCAGACTTTCAAGCACTTCACCTCTATATTCGTCCAATTCTCCATCGAACGCAAATCGAGCTAGATTGGCAATTACAGCGGTTCCTCTCAAGAAAAGGAAGCATAGCACATTTAGGAAAAGCAAAAGAAGTAAACAAGATAAGGCCAATGACTTAGAGGGCACAAGAAGCCATTGTTGAAGAAACGAACATGCTGAATTAAAAAGATAACTTTCTTTAGTCGAAGCAATTACCAGGAGAGACTGTCCACAGCCTCTGCCAATTGAAGCGATGAAGCACCACCTTTGAGTCTTCCTTGACCAATGCCAGCAAATCCTTCTCCGGATTCCACTCTGCCATCTTCACCTGCCAATCAGAAATCGAGCAAACTTCACAAATCCGAGTCGGACCAATCAGGTTGACCACCCATTAGGTTGCAAAAGAACACCGGGAGCCGAACTTGAGAAGCCAGTGAGACCCAAAGTATGCAGAGAAAATTGCAGGGGAGGAATAGGCGGGAGAGAAAATAAGGACGAGAGAGACAGACAGACAGACTTGATTACAGGAGTGGAGGCGGACAGTTTCAGCTCTGCAAAGCTTCAGTTAAATATAATCAGGGCAATTTGGGATGACAACATGCAAACATCCTTTACCTTTCCAAGGATGCATTGTTAGGGTTCGAGAAGTTCAAGAAACATCGAGCTCCTAATCCTTCGATGATTTCGATTCCTTTTAGAAGCGCCTTGTGAAAACTCTCTTGGATATTTCAGCATTTACATCCACCAGTGGAATGATAAATGAATCCTGCCAGTGAGTCAGAAGAAATCAATCCGGCAACTAACATCAACGAACTACTGATAATACTCCAAAGTTTAGGGATCTCTGTTTGTCAAACTCGATATTCTTTTTGAACTCTTTGGATCAAACTAATGCGGCATCTAACATCATCAACCACAGAAGCTTTGATCAAATTAGCATAGTGTATTCAACTCAAGTTGCCTGCTTTTGTGGGACATAGTATGATTCTTTTCCTTATCATCATGTGCTATTCTTGCATTAGAATAAATGCAAGACAATTTTCAAATGGCATATGGAATACCGAAAATTTTCCTCAGGAAACTTATGGAAATGCTTCCTGTGTTTTCCTTTTCAGCAAGTAAATGAACTAACAAGAGCTTATGCACAATATAAGGAACTATCTCACAGTACAGCCGATTATGTCAAAAGACAATCTAGTTAATGTCTTGCTCGGCTCAAAAGTTCATGTACATGAAAGATGGCTGTACCAACTCTACAAACATTAAGATACATTCTTTCGGATAATCTATTATTAGCCTTGGAGTAGGTATATCCTAGATTCAAACCAAACGAACATGAATCCATAGTCAGAAAAATTCGATTGGAATTTTTCTCGATCGATCCAAATAATTCAAGATGCTTTTGCTTCTGCCCTGTTTGCTAGTTCACTCACAACCACACCACTAGGAGAATAGCTCGTTCTTGCATTCAGCATTTCTAGACAGATACGATTACCTTAATCATCTAATGCGGACAGTTCTGTGAGATAAAATGTGTGGAACTCAATGGTTGGACAAGTTTTATCCCAAGTCATTGGCGTATGCATACTAACTAAAGCCCTATCAACATGCTCCTTTAGCTCCGTAAATTCACTCGTAAGTGTACCTTAGAAACATCCAGTCGTGAACAGCATGATGAGTGCAGAGCAAACTAAAACCTCACATTAGAAGGACCGCCATATAGGGTCCTTCATTTAGCATTTCTCAACCGATACAATGACCTTTGGCATACTATGAAATACCTGCATACATCAGTTTTTATTCAATCCTCCAGTATTCCAGAATCAATCGAACGTCGAGAATCTTTATTTTTCTGCATAGGATGAAGGATCCTACCCGAAGACTAATAACAAATGATGCGCTTAGAAAGCCTTTTCATCTATTTCCGTTACCGGCGTGATAAGCAGAATCATTTTGCCAAAGCACACATTAACTTTTAATCTCCCCTGGATTCCTTGAATTCAAGTAAGGATACAATGATGACATTGTCAACCAGGAGATAATAATGATAAGATCATAAATCTTGAAAGATATTGCAAGCAGAAAATACAAATGAAAATTGGGCGGTAGATCTCAAAAGAGCAAAGGTAACTTACCTGCTTTATGTACCCTTCGTTAGAAAATGTGGATCATTTCCATTGTATTGACTCATTCTCGTCGTACGTATCGTCTGATTCCTTGTCTGATTTCTCGTCTGATTCCTCGTCTGATCCCTCATCTGATTTCTAGAAATTTCAATCAATCCACACACCAAATAATTCTGGAATTGTTTGGAGCGACTCGCATCCACCGATTCTCAGTTCTTCCAAAAACTCCAACGTATTGAGGCCTTGAATTTCGGCTAAGTTTTTGCAGCCTTCAACGTTTAATGTCTTCAACCTCCCGGATTTTGGAAGATCCAGCCTTTCAATTGAAGCGCACTCAGAGATAACGAGGCTTTCCAAAAACTCCAACCTATCGAGGCCTTGAATTTCGGCTAAGTTTTCGCAGGCATCAGCGTCTAATATCTTCAGCCTCCCGGATTTTGGAAGGTCTAGCCTTTTAATTGAATCGCTCTTAGAGACATCAAGGATTTCCAAAAACTCCAACCCATCGAGGCCTTGAATTTCGGCTAATTTCTTGCACTTTCTAGCATCTAATGTCTTCAGGCTCTTGAATTTTGGAAGGAGCAGCTTCTCAATTGAACCGCACCGATAGACAGTCAAGCTTTCCAAATATATCAATTTGTCAAGTTCAAGACCTCGAACTTCAACTAGATTCTGGCACTTAGCGACGTTTAATGTCCTTAGATGGATAAACTGTGAAACGTCCATTGTTTTAATGGATTGACAGGCCCGAACGTACAAGAATTCCAGCTCGAAGGGAGTGTTTAGGGATTGTGGTAATTCTGATTCTTCAATGTCTGTCGGTTGGGAGCATTCTGAATTCTTTAATAGTGTTGATGGAAGCACTTCGATGCACTCAAGAGATCCACATGAATAAACTCGTAGTCGCTTGAGATGGGTTAAGTGGGAAAGTGAGGGCAATTTGCGGCTTCCACAGGTGACGCTCAAATCTGTTACGCTGGAAGGAAGGTTGTCCGGCAACGATTGGAGCTGGAGGCAGCCAAGAACATCAAGGAGTTGTAGGGAAGAAAGATTGCACATGCTTTCCGGCATTTCCCCTTTCAGATCTATGCAATATGAAGCGCATAACTCTTGGAGCTTTCTCAAACTCCCAATACCCTTGGGTAATTCTTTTATACGGGTTTCAGATATGTTCAAAATCTCTAGATTCTCCAGAGACTCTATTTCTGCTGGAAGCTTTCTAAGGGACTGACACCCCATCAAATCCAAGCGAAGGAGGGCCTTCATGTCTCCAATTGAAGGATCTATCTGCTTCAGTCTTCGACAATTTTCGAGGATGAGAACCTCCAAATGCTTAAAAGCTGAGAGGAAGATCGTATTTTCCAAGGAGTCACAATCTGTGAGGTCGAGATATTTGAGATTCTCCGCCGTCTGGTAAAATAAAAATAATAATAATTGTCAAAGAATTAGTCTAGAGTGATTATAATTCAAAAGAACAAATAAAAGGCTAAAAAAAAAAGGACTTGTTCTTACCATGAAAGAACTCCATCCTTCCCATTGATCATTTATCTTGCTGCCCGACAATTTGAGTACAACTAATTTCGTTACATGAAAATTTTTTACTTTGAAATTCACAGGACAATATTGCCATCGGAGCCACTTTAACTCCTCAATTGAGTTCTCAAAATCTCCACTGAGATGTGCCCTCTTCATTTGAAGGAATCTTAGACTCGTCAAATTCTTGAATTGTTTTGCTGTGTAATTGTTGCCATCTCGCTTGGTTGTTTTGCCAGAGCCTTTTGAGCTGCCTTCACTCATATCAATGGCCTCAATCTTGTCCGTTCCCTATAAGAAAGAATCAACGTTCATTGATACTAAATCCAACTAGAGTATCCTAATATTATTTGTTCAAATTGCTATTGATGTGCATTAATGTGTTCAAGAGACCACTAATGTGAAGATATGATTTTCTCTTAACGCCAATAAATAGTATTTATGAAGGCTAACAAAGTGAAGGATGTCAACTTCCATTTTGAAATTTGGCCATACGCATTCTGATCTTAAAAAGAATTATGATGTAATGGCTCATTCAAAGTAAAAACTTTACAACATGTAATCTTCTTCTTTTCGGTACTGCAGCTTCATTACCATGCTAGTTGAGACAAGCATGCAATGCAGGGAATTTGATCAAATTGCAATGTGCAAAACCAAAATTTTGATTTGATCAATTTTAATAGAAATATATTTTTTTATCTATGTAAATTTCATACTAATTTCGTGCATATTACGCGATTGTGCTACTCACGCCATTAATAAAAAAAAAACATATACTCTTATTTTCCATCGGAGTAATAACTAATTGCAAGAAACCGAATATTGTGATAGTAGTTATATTAATATATTTTGTACTTATTATTTTACTAATAGTGACTTGAAATATTGTTAATTAATTATTTTCTAATTATAAATAACTAAGACAATAATATTGGTTATATTAATATTCTCTACAACTTATTATTTTATCATAAATTTTAGTTTTAACAATAGATTACATTTTGATATATTCATAATCGTAAATAACTGATTAGTTATATTAATATTCTCTACAGCTTATTATTTTATCATTAATTTAAGTTTAACTATAGATTACAAACTGATATAATCATAATCATAAATAACCGAGTAACTCAAGTATAATAAATATAATAAACAAACCCCGATAACTTTGATGTATACCAAAAATATTAATTGTTAAAAGTGCAAAACATTTTTGCAATTGGAAAATTGAAGCTACTCTTGGCTACAAGCCTACATGGAATAGCTTTTCCTTGGCCCCCCCAAGGAATAACTATTCCTGATTGGGAAAGAATAGTAATTTCTAATATATTTTTGAACAAAATGAAGGAATAATTGCTTTATTGGAATAGATTGGAAATAGAATAGTTCTTCTTGAGAACCAAATGTGTAGTAAGCTTTCACAAGAAAAAAAAAATCACTTATGCATAAGAAGTCAAGAAGTAAAACAGAAAGTTCATGAATTTCCACATCAGTTTCTCCGAACCCAAAATTTTGCTATTGTAATTCACAATGCTATACAAGATTTCATGGATACTCATAGGTGATTGACATAATAATTTTGAAAGGAATCAGATCTCAACACCTAAAAGGAATCCAAGAGAAGAGTAACTATATAAAAAAAAAGGAAGAAATCTTCAACATAAGTAATCTACTCACATTAGTCATTTTCCCATAAACTTCCCTCTCAAAATATCAAGATACCCTATCTATCTTCAAGAATTTTATGTGTGGTGTAACTTTTTTCACCTTCAAAAATCGATAAATAGAGTTTGGCCAAATCCTGAAAATAAGCCCAACCTTTTGTACTTGGGATAAATGCAAAAAAACCGTTCAAACGTCTACAAAGTTTAACCATCGGCATCTACGACAAAAATAACATAACCTTTCTAACGGCATAAAAACAGCCCAAATATTTAACCGTAGAACAAAGCTGGCACCTGTTATAAATTTCATCCATTATCATCGTTAAATCGCCATGGGTATCCTAGATTGCTCACCTTGCTAACGTATACATTGAGCCATGTCAACCCACACCAAAAAAGATGATGTGTTTTATTTTATAATCTTGTTAACAAACTCTGTTTATAATCTTTCTTACAAAATTTCTGGCTTTTTGTAAATAAACAAAAAAGAAGTCATTTGTGGTCATGATTAATGCGGTTCATTGTGCATGTTCGCACAATGAACTATGTAGGACGACACCGGGCGATTTAATGTGAGAATAGGAAGAATTGATGGCGAGTGTCATTTTTATCACGAGTGAAAAGATGACTTTGACAGGAAATGTTATTTTTGTCCCATATGCAAAAGGCTGGGCTTCTTTTTATGATAGTACCATGGATGAAGAGCGAAAAAGAGTCATGCAAAAATACTGAAATAATTATATAAAAATGTACCTTTTTAGTTGTAAAATTTAGCTATACCATTTTATTTGTATATAAAAATATACAACATATTCGTTTTTCTTTTGGTTAGTTTCGTTTATTTAATCGTGCAGTACGAAAGACATAATAAATAGACATTGGCTTTGAAGTTGTTAATATATGAATTGGCTCTTGAGATTATACATGGGTCGCACGCACTTTGAGTCTTTCAAGCAACAACTTGAGTCAAACCAAATGATGGATTAAAAGTAGTAGAGTCAAAATTTTGATTAATTTCACAAATGCATATACAATTGCATACTTAATTTTACAAAACAGGATTTGAGTATTTATCTCCTGGATTTTTGTGAAGAAAAAGAAAAAATACGCTTGATGTTATGGATATTTGTACATATATATACACACATATATATTATATATAAGGAATTTTTGTTCCTATCATATTCGGTAAGTTTTAAATCAGTCCTTGTCCTATGAATATTATTAAATGGAATTCCTAACGTAATATTACATAAAATAACATCCCTTCCATTCTCCATTATGGAATAATGACTAAAATTTCATGAGAAATGCGGGCATCATTAGTCCTATTATATTAATTTTAACATCTAGAGATTATAATTCTATGATTTATATATCCTAAGTAGTTATAGTTTACAGTAGCATAGTCAAGTTATTTATTGCATGTGTCGAAGACGTAAATGAAGCAATTATAGAAATTCAACATCTTTCCAAAATTGAATAACCCTATCAATTATCTAAAAAATTTGAAAGTATCTCATTATTGGCGATAATTTCATAATATACACTTACGAAAAATCTCAGATAACACTACAATACTTACTAAGAGAGAGCAACCTCCCTACATTTTAATCACGTCAATGAAACATTCGAGGGCAATAATAGTAGAAGGTCCTCTGTTCACTAGAGCAAGCACTAAGTAGTGGACCAACATTACTGTAATCGTAGAACACGAACTAAGTGAGAAAAAGAAACGAAACGGTTACCTTATTTTCCTTTAGCACTTTCTGGACTTCCTTAGAGTCCCATAACCTGCTACGGTACTGAGGCTCTCGCTGGTTTTCCTCATGAACTAGATCTCTACCAAGATCTCTCAATTGGTCATGCATTCGAAGCTCATGATCATCTCCAAGTTTTATTAATGACATGAATCTCAATACTTCAATTCCCTCCTCAGGGAAAAAGCCACAGGCATCCCACATATAGGATGCGATTCTTTTGTCAGTGCCAATGAAAAAGCAAGCGATATCCAAAAATATTTGTTTTTGTTCATAGTCTAATACTTCATAACTTATCTTTAACTTTTCTCGCACTTTCTTATGAGGGACTCTTTTTAACTTGTCTATTGTACCTCTCCAGAATTCTGGCTTTTTTCCGCACAATGTTGAACCTAAAACCTCAAGAGATAAGGGAAGCCCTCCGGTGGTAGCTATAACATCACGAGCAAGGTCCTCAAATTCACTTGGAGGAGAGCTCCTTCGAAATGCATGTCTACAAAACAGAACCATGGAATCATTCTTGTCCATTTCCTTATGTTCATATTTGTAGTCCACCCCTACATTGTCAAAAATACTGCTATTTCTAGTGGTAATAAGGATCCTACTTCCAGAAGAAAACCAATTGTGATCTCCAGCCAAAGCCTTCAACTGATCATGATCATCCACATCATCAAGAAGAATGAGGACTTTCTTATCTTTGAACATCAATGAGATGAGCTTAGTCCCTTCATCCTTATTAGTAACTTGATTTTTTTGATTCGATATATCATACAATAGTTGATTCTGCAAGTACTCAAGTCCATGACACTGACATAATTCCCTAATATCTACAATGAAGCTACGATACTCAAATTGATTGGAGAGCTTGTTGTAGATGGTTTTCGCAAGAGTTGTCTTACCAATGCCTCCCATTCCGTGGATTCCGATAAATTTGGTAGCACTGGAATGATTACCTATAAATTTCATAACCTCCTCCACATGACCATCAATTCCGACCAAATATTCAGGAATAACCAACTCAAACTCTTTCTTCAACTCGCTCAACACTTTTTGGATGACCAATTTCACCAATTCTCCTTCCTTCCTATCAAATGCGATGAGTTCAAACATGTGGCAACGGTAATTTTAAGTTATTTCTCTAATTAGAACACAATAATAAACAAATTTGGGGATAAATTGCAAAACTTTAAAAATTGCTTTTGTCACACCTCCATGTGTTATCTTATATGCTAAGAATAAAATGGGAAATGTTGGTCGTTGCTTCACATGAGCCGGAAGAAACTTGACGATAGTGCTAATAAATTTGAATTGAATATGTTATGAATTTGAATCAAAATTTAAACTCGTTGTTTGTTAAAGCTATCAAGGATGATGTCGATGACAGGATGTGACTTTGAAATTTTTTTAGAGAATTTGAATAAGGAAAAGTCCAATAAGCCAGCCATGTACGAGAGTCCAATCATTTTTCAATAAATATGACATAAATTTTGATGGAAGAGAAATTCGTGTCCTGTAATATCTATCCGAAGAGTTGTTCGAACCGCTATATAGTGAACTACCTGAATACAATTGAGGGAATTTCTCCTTATTTGTGCAATTCTACATGTTTGCAAGTTTCTACGCGTGTTGTGAATTCAGTATTGTTCTAGATTTGTGCTCTCAACAGTCATTGCGTCAAGGGATAATAACAAGCCGTACTTTGTTTTCCTTTTGAGTATCCATGTGCTATGATATTAATTAACCGAACATTGATTTTAAAAGAAGTAGAAGAATAATTTTTCCCCAAAAAAAGAACATTGCCTCGATTTATGCAAGTGTATGAGATAGAAATTATGAGTTGAAGATAGGAAAATTGCATTGAAATTATTTAAACAAACATATAATAAAGATGATCTTTTTTTGCTTTTTCATATCTAACATCATCACACATAACCAATTAAATATTTCTTTTGTAAAAATAACAACATTAATGATTTAGTACATGTAACTTGGGAAGATAAAGAATTATGGCTTTGACCATCAACATGCACGATATATGATGTTGTAAGCTTTAAATAGGAACCACCAATAAGTTGTATCATTAATCTCTAATAAATATGTAATTATAAAGTTCGTGATGTAGATTAATGTAGTTTATGCTGTAAAAATGAAAAAAAAAATGGCACCATATTATGAAATCTTTGGATATAAGAGTAAAAATTCATTAAAATAATCTTTATATAATTGAAGTGAATGGGATCTTAACAATAAAATTTATTATTCGATTGGTCGATATCATTAAAATCAGGATCTTACTGCTAGGAAGACTTCAGCTTTTTTCTTTTATAAAAATAACGAAAAATGAAAAAGGAAAATGAAGCATATAGGAATCAGACCAACCGTAAACACCCACACAAATTAAAAGACGCTAACGAATGTTTTGGTGAAAAAGTGAAGTACCTTTTGGCTTCCCATCCTTTCAAGGAACTAACTTTAACGAGTGCTTGCTCCCATTTCTTCAGGATCGTTGGGTCGAAACGCCTCGAACGTGTACGAAATGCTTCTCCAAAATCCCCAATCTGGTGTCGCACGTGAGCTGGTTCCACTTTGTAGAATATAGGTAATACTATATGACCCTTGTTATTATTCTTGCACTCCATTATTTGAACCAGTTCATCAAGGCACCATTTGCTCGAACCATAATTCACTGAGAGGATGGGGATCGAGATCTTACTGTTCTTGATGGCCGCCAAAAGATCTGGGCCAATCTCCTCGCCTTGGCGAAGCTCATCATCGTCCCTGAAAGCACGAATTCCGGCATCAACGAGCCCGGTATAGAGGTGATCGGTGAAGCCATCTCGAGTATCTGGGCCTCTAAAACTCAAGAACACATCGTAGCAGTTTCCAGCCGATGCATTCAACGAAGCAGATGGAACGTTATTAGTTTCTGTCGGTGCGGCTGATGAACTAGATGCGCCAGAATTAGTTTCTGTCGGTGCAGTCGATGAACCAAATTCGCCAATACCAGCACCTTCTGCATTTCTACGAACACTAGATTTCTTCCTAGTGAGAAAATTGAACGCAATCACGGAGAGAAGGATCGGGGCCACGAGCACGGCGAAAGAACGGCCAAAAAGAGGACGATGCATTTCTTCTTGCGCTGATTCTGCCCTTAGTTTTGCGACGGAGAAGAAGACCAATATATGCCTTCTTATTGCCCACAGAAGAAAGTCTGGTATATTTTATTATTATTTGGACCAACCAAACAGCAGCCAATGTTGAAAAAGAATCAGTAAGCACGTGCTGATGCATCGACCACTGTCATTTATTCACGGGGTTGCAAATTAATGTCGCAAAAATTGACTGAAGGTTCGGATGGGGCCGGCTAGCATGAGGGTACGTATTTCTATAGCCCTCACTGCACGTCTTTTAAGGTGAAGATCACTTTGAACACATCAATGCTTAATGTTTTTGTCTTTCCCCTTGTTAAATTTATTTTCTAGGAAAGACTTTTTAACTCCACGACAACTCTTTCTTGTTCCTTTCTCGACCTTTGCACATTTCTTTCTTCCTCACACCATTTAAGGGATATATTTTTATTACAAAAATATAATTGAATCTTAAAATTTTTAAAAATTATAATTAAATTTTAAATTTATTAAATTAATTTAATCAAATCCTAAAGTTAACAGCGTTAATTTGTTTAATAGAAAATGCTGACGTGGTATTTTTCAATGAATTATTCTGTCTTGCGTGGCGTTTTTTATTATTATTTTATTCAAATCTTATTTAAATTAAATTGAAAGACCTAAAAGGCTAAAAATTTTAAAACTAAACTGGAAAGAAAAAGAAAGATAGAAGGAGCTTTGCCGGTGAGGCGCTATCGTCCATCGCCGTAGAGGCCGGCGGAGGTCGCTAGAGGGTGGCCAGTCCTCGTCGGCCCGCCTCTAGGCGAGGCTCATCGGCCCTCACCTAGGACTGGGGGCCGGCGAGCCTCGCACAGCTCTAGGTTGAAGGCACCTAGATCTGGGCAATGCCGGGGCCTCGCTTGGGGCCAGTGAGGCCTTGCCCGGGGCTGGCGAGGATCGGCCACCCTTCGGCGACCTCCGCCGGCCCCTCCGGTGATGGGCGGCGGTGCCCCACTGGCAAAGCTCCTTCTATCTTTTTTTTTTCAGTTTTGTTTTGTCTTTTTTATTTTTAGCCTTTTTAGTTTTTTAATTTAATGTGAATAAAATAATAATAAATGCCATGTAGGAGAGAGAAATTCATTTAAAAATGCCACGTCAGCTTAACTTTAGGATTTGATTGAACCGATTTGATAAGTTTTAAAACTTGATTACATTTTTTGAAAGTTTTAGGATTTAATTGCACTTTTACAATAAATTTTAGGATTTTTAGTGAATATATCCCAAATCGTTGATCTTCCCCTTGTTTTCAGTGCTTCACTCACATGCCTGCAGAACCCTAACCCCATGTCCAGGAAGAAGTAATGAAAAGAAATGAAACCAAAGATAAAAAGACTAGGTCTGTTAGAATTTCAATACACATAAAACGGTGGATTTGTTGGGAAGATGAAAAGTGGAGAGAGAGACTTGGGACGAGTCTTCCTTGAACTTAGTCCACTGCTTGCACTAACTTCCCCTTTTCTTTTGTTAATTTATTCTTCATCAGAAAAGATATTTTTTGTTAAATATATTTAAGCTCTCGATTTCACTTAGGAATTTTTTTTCCTCATAATCCCACTTAGGAAATTAACCCCTCTCACTTTTAGCCTCTTAAATATTGTCCAGTCAAACCAATAAACTTTATTTCAATACTGAAATATTGTATTATTAACGATCACTTATTCTAAAAAAGTATGTTATTAACGCATGTCGAGGATCATAAAAAATTATCAACATGCTCTATATATATTCATTTTACCTGTGGATCATTGGTAGATGGTTACAAGGGTAACCTCACCACAGTAGAGGAGCCGAAGCTTCCATAGGGGTTTTCGCGGCATGTCCGTTTGATATATAGGAATGATGAGTTCCACAGATGAGTTTCTTATTTTAATGTACCGGTGCCCACACGACATGCGTCTCTTGTTAGGGGAAGCAGTTTTTCTTCTCTTACCCTAGGAAATACTTATGTCCTAGAGTTTAGATGAAGCCTTTTAATGTCTTGTTTAAGACCATCCTGAGCACAATGAGAAGAATTTCTTTTTTCCTCCTAAAACATTAAGGAACAGGAAAAGACGCACTTAGGTATCTTTGTCACATTAAATGACAGCTTTACCTCATCTTACTCATTAAGATCATAATATTAGGTAAGAGTATAGTGAATATTTCGAGAGAGCACAAGAAATTATCAAGTTTTCAGCTTTATATTTGTATAAATAAATCATGTTTAGAACTTAAATAAAGCTTTTTCAACCATAGAAACTTAAGAATTCTAATTCCACAAAGTTCACAGAGCTAATTTCTTACCTACATAGTACCAATAATCGCCTCATCTTTCGGATTAGTATTATTTTAAAATAAAGTACTTAATTTCAAACATGCTGAGTTTATATATATATTTCGAAATCAATAATTTTGAATTTACATTTTTTTGATATTATGATAAGATCATGCCCATGCCTCTTTTAAGATGAATTTATTACTGTGTTTGGACAGAATGATAATTTAGAAGAGTATAAGCTCCAGTGTACAAGCTTATATGGCGCCTACATGCGCAAACCTTCTAAGAAAGTAAACTTTTGCTCATCATATTCTTGTGAATGTTCGATTTTAATCCTTATGAATTATTTTTGTGACAAAACTAGTAAAAAACATATTCATTAGATTGATTAAATGTTTTTGACCCTTTAACAAATTAAATTCATCTCCTTCGATAATCCAAATCAAGCACATATTTGTGTGCCCTTTTTTGCTAGTGAATTGAATAAGCGAACTAATCTAAGTGGACTGATTCCTAATTTTCTGATTAAACACAATTTCGTTTTGGATATAATTTTCCATGTCACTTTGTCGATGTGGATTTTTTTTTACTGACATAGAAATGCCACGTCAAACAACTAACAATGTTTTTGAATATAAGGTTTACAGGGGCAGATTTAAGACTAGTTAGTGATTTTTTTAGATAAAAAATATTCGGGGTAGATTTAGGACTGGATATAAAGTTTGGGATTTTTTTAGACAAAAAAATTGGAACATATTTAGGATTGAATCTAAAATTGAGGATTTTTTTTAGATAACAAATTCGGGGTATAATTATAGCTGGACTTAAAATTTGACGGTTTTTTGAGGCATTAGGACCGTATAAAAAGAGGGAACTGAAAGTTGAGGAGCTTCACCTGTTTTAATCATCCAAGGGCAAATTTGTAATTAGATAGCATATAATTTTCCTTTTGTCCTCGTGCCCAGTGGCTGGGTCCCATTAGTCTTTGCTCAACTTGAGGCTACCGCTCTTATCTATCAAGTTTTTGTCCCTTTCTTATTTCGAATGAGTGGCTGTGCTCACCACTTTTCTCTCTACTTAATTGTGAAGTTATCAATTAATCATTTACTCAAATTTATTAGTTTCACAATTTCTTAATCAACCCAAAGCCAAATTAACAAATCAAAATTTACAATTTTTTTCTGGCAAATGTTTTTTCTTGGTTCAGTTTAGCGATTGCTCTAACATTTTGCCCTTCTTCTTGACTTGGTCAAAAAGTGGGCTTTAATAAAAAAAGAAAAAGAAGAGATATAAAGGGAGAGCACGCACCATGAGAGAAAGGAAAAGAAAGGAAAAAGAAGAGGAAGAAACGGAAAAAAGAAAAAAAAAGGAAAGAAAAAGAGAAATAGAGCTTTGTGCATACACTCAAGTCATATTTACTTCGGTTTACAATGCGCGGGCCTATATTTATCTAATCAAAGTAGTTTTCGGAATTAGGGTACAAATTCAAAAATTATGTGAAATTGTAATTACGAAATTCGATTTTAGAGTTGTTAAGCTGTGGAAGTAAGAGCGTTGCGGAGTTGTGGGGCTTGAAGGAAGTTGATTTGGAATAACACTGTAGTTGGAACAAAATTTTCGAGTTTTGTGTGCAAGCTCCGCATTACGGATAGCTTTGAATAATTGCTTTGGTGAGCAATTTGTTGACGTGTGAGAGTCATTTTGTTGGAAAATGAATTTCGTCCGAAGGGACGCTGTCAATCGTGGCTTTTGTAAAGTCTCCAACACTAGTCGCCTTTGCATGCCCTTTTCTATAAAAATGAAATGGTTTTTCTCACTTTGGTTCTAGCTTTGAATAAAAGTTGTTCAACTTCAAAACAGTGCAAAACTTGATTTCGTTTTTGGCTTTGAAATTGAAATGCTGGAGAAATTTAACCGTGAGGAGTAAAATTCTTGGAAATTAAAAGTGCAAAGGAAAAGTGAACTTGGAGGAAATATAGATACTTCGAAAGTAGATTAAACAAACTTAAGGTGAAATTGTATCTTTTTGCTCTCTGTCGCTTCCTCGCGCGTGCCCCGACAATTCTCTCTCTCTCCCTGCCTTTTCATTTTTTTCCTGTCCACCTCCTCCACGAGAATCTGCCTCCTCTGTTCTTCTTTTACTTTCTTTTCTTTTGCCGACCACTTCTCTGTTTTTCTTCATTAAAGTTTTCTCTCTTTTGCCGACCATAGCCCTCTCTCTTTCTCTCTCTCTGTATTTCTCTTTCAAGCTCTCTTTGGCAATGATTATATGCTGAAAAATCTCGCGCCCCACTTGCCCGAGAATCCTCTGCTTTTTTAATGCCCAGATTTGCTTGTCTTCTTTGGCCGTGAACTCCTGTCCCTGAATATCGATTTTGCTCCCTTGTGAAGATGGAAATTGCTCTCCCTCGATCTCATCTTCAAGATTCTTATCGTTGTACGGGATAGATTGAGACTGGACATAAATTTTGATTTTTTTTAAATAAAAAAATTGATGGCAAATTTAGGACTGGGTATAAAGTTAAGAATTTTTTTTTGAAATAAAAAAGTTCCGGAGAGAATTAAGATTTGACCTAATATTTGAAGATTTTTAGGACTTAGGCCTGTATAGAAATAGGGAAGAGAAGGTCGAGGAGCTTCACCTGTTTTAATCATCCGGGAGCAGATTTGTAATTAGATAGCATATAATTATCTTTAGAGATATGTTCACTAGAAGTCTTAAAACTTATCATGAAAGTGCAATTGAATCCTAAAATTTACAAAAAGTACAATAAAGTCCAAAAACTTATCAAATTGGTTCAAATGAATTCTAAAGTTAATACCGTCAAACTTACTAACGGAAAATGCCGAC